TGTCCACCTAGACAGTATTAATACGTAGGGAGGGCACTTATGCAAGAAAATAGCTTCCTCTCTAAGAAGCTCTTCCCGATGAAAATCCATGAGAAGTATTACTGTTATAAACGAAGACAAGCAAAAAAGCACTCATGGCATGACAAATAATTACTTTAAGATCTTGGACAGCGACTGAAAGCTTTTAAAATGAGTGTCTTGCAATGCATCACGAAGATAGTCACTTGTCTTCTCTTACAATATACATAAATGCACGTGCAGACAAAGCTGTCTTCCAACACACCACCACCATTTACACCAGAAAAGATCTACAAGTGAGCTAATTAGTATTACCATATAATACTTATCAAGACGCAGATTGTCTATCCCATTCCATTCACGGCTCATAGTTTGCCAAAAAGTCTGAATGAACAAGTGTCCTGTAAGAAAATAAGAAAAAAAATCATCAGCACATCTGGCACAAGAGTTTCTTTCACTAACCTAAAAATCTCAAGGAGTCACTTCAACATGAGGAAGAGATGTTTTTTTTTTCCTGGGGATTTGCCCAAGGATTGGGATAGAGCTAAGGGAAGACCTGTTTGAGATGAGTACAAGGACAAGTTGATTAAACTTCAGAAAAACACCAGAAAAGGCACACAGCTGCTTTTAAAGGTGAGCACAGCTACAGGGAGAATTATAATAAAAGAAAATTCCTGAGCTTTGTATATATACATTTTCTGTTATACATGCAAAAGTTAGAGCAAAACACCCATTCTGCACTCATGTCTACCCATGCTAGTTTTGGCACTGACCAAGCACTGTATTTCAAGTGCAGTTTGTACACTTCACAGCTCACGAAACAAGGTTGTTTTTGAGTACGATATACCCAAAACAAGTAGCTGCAGAATGGCAAAGTAAGGGGACAAGTTTGCTTCGCCTGTGAAATCTCTCCTTTATTGCACTGGAGGTACAATCCTTCCCCTGCAACAACCAGAAACAAACTGCATCTGATTCAGGGCATAGATGCTTCCCTTGATGCAATCACACATTCCAGATGGACAACAAACAAAGGAAAAAAAAAGGAACCACCCGTATCTTGCTGTCTCTATTCTGGGACTGTGACAGTGGGCTTAAAATGAGTCAGATAATGAAATAGTACTTACGAGCCTCTGTATTCTGAATCACATGGATAAGCTGTGCAATGTTATTTGCAAGTTCTTCCTAAAAGTACATAAATACAGTTAGTAGAGCATGTTTCAGAGCTTGGTCTCCTCACTACACATTCAACCAGAAAATAGCAAGTATGAATAGAAAAAAGCATCCCTCAAAATTAAGAAATATTCTCTTAGCAGCTGCTTTAGCACCATTGCTGTCCTTCCACTGTATTTAGGTCCAAGAAAAGAGACGAGGCTATCAAGCCCTGTTCATTTATCAGGTCTGTGCACAAGTCATCCTTTTGGTAGCAGACAAAACTAAATTGGGAGGTGAATAATCCAGTGGATTTGAATTAACAAATGCTATAAAATCCCAGGGGTACTGTTTTAATGTAGGTTAATTGTAGGTGGAGAACTCTGTACTACTTACGAGATAAACCTTGTTCAGGGAAAGAAACAAGTGATTTGAAAACTGGTTAAGTGAGGTTATCAAGACCCGGTAGTTCGAAACTGTTATCTTTTGAAAGCAGGTAGACGAACTGGAGGAGGAAGCAAAAACTGAAGTGGAGGAAGTGCCCGTGCCACCAAACTCTTCATAATAACAAAAGAAAAGGAAGTTTGAAAGTTTTGAACTAGACTTACTGAAGGTTACATGTACACTGAAGTTACAGTTAAGGGCAACCTGCTGCTACTGCTGTAGTCCCACCAAATCCATGCACTTCATAACTACGTGTATTTCATTTGGAAGGAAAACAGCTACACCTGCCTTGGAAAAGGTGATTGCAAGCACCACACCATTTAGGCTTCTGTTCGTGTGATGAGGATCACAGAATTGGTCACCTCTCCTGCACACGCCACATATGAGCAGTAGGGGAAGAAAGAAAAGTGTGCAAGACGCACCACGGCCATTTTCACTATTGTAAATTAGTATGTTTTAGGAGACCCACTCAGGCAAACATAAAAGCAGTTACTATACCTGTAGCAGAGGTTTATCCTGCATCCACATGCAATAGAACAGCCCCTTCCATATTTTTAGCAGTTCATCCTGGCTGAAGCCACCTGTGGAATACAAGAAGATTGAATGAAAATGAAAAATCCACCAAATTTCCACCCACGTGCTTTCAAGCAGTACTCTCTCCTCTCCTTCACTTTTGTTATATTTTCTTAGCCAAATGTTGATTCCCACTGTAAGCAGACTAACTGGAAGGCCACTCGGCATAGTTTCGTCATTCCATGACTTTAGGCTTCTATCTTGTGCCAAAGTAACAAAGATTTCAAAGAAATCGTAGGTGAGATGTGGCTTCATTAGATAGCGTACACTTCTGACAGTCAACAAATTAAGATGCATAATCAAAGAGCCTGACCAACTGTAATGAGAATCTTTCCATTGCATTTAGTCCTGATGGTACAGTATCACCTGAATTTTAACAGCAAAGATTATTTTCACTACGAACAGTGTAAGAATTCACATTGCAGCCAAAAGCACACATTACAGACAGAAAGTACTAACTGGAAAGAAAGCTTTAAAAACCAATTAGAGATCTCAAGTACATTTCCGAGAATTTTAACAGCATACAAAGTAGCTGCAAAAAACTACCAGAGCTATTCTCAAGCTACAGCCTGTTGCTAGATCCAAACTGAGCATGTTCTCCTGGAAACAAGTCATCTGAAAGCAATCATCACTACTGCACCACTCTTTACTCAGACAAAAAACTGTAAACATCTTAGTTAAATCATCTACAGTCACGCTTAGTTAAAAAGAAAGGAAGTAGAGGTGGGGGAAGGTATATGCAAAATACATGCGGAGGAAGCAGTATGCCTACTAGTATTAATTAAAAGTTTAACTTGGATTTGTCAGCGATGTTAAGATTAAACATGATACCATTTGATTCACTGATTTAATATTCACTTTTTTTTTTTTTAACAGATCCATATGCTACATATGTAGCAGTAAGAAGCATTAACTCTATAGAGGCATCAAATATTAGGCTTATGGGGACATCGGCTTATTAGGCAGGGACGTCAGCTTCTATCTATAAAGATGGCCCAAGAGACTTTGTCTCAGGAACATGGGCTTCCCACAGGGTTGCTTTTCAGACACTGCGGGCTTTTAAAAGTGTCCTAGGCGGCCCTTTGTCATCTTGACAAAGCACCCTGACCAAATTGGTCCAGAGTATGTTCCTTTTCCCAGTCACTCGAAAAGTACTTTTTAAGACTTTTTTTTTTTTAATTTTATTTTTCCATTTTGCGAGCCCTGCTGTCACCATCCACTGCTGGCAAAAAATCATTCTGGCAAGGTTATTTTAAAATCTCAGCCTAAATGCAGTGCGCAAAACTGAAGGCCTTCTTTGCCTAAAAGGTACCTTGAGAAAGTTTGGCCTTCATGTCTGGACTGGAACTCTGTCCCTATGTACAGTGTGGGAGCTTGTAATCACTCATAAGTCACCACTGAAGGCATGCTACTTTAATGAAAGTCTTGTTAGCATTTCTGTTTGGGAGTTATTCTAATGCTAATGCTAGTTAAAATTGTTGATTTATCGTAGATAATCTCCAAGGACCCACACAAGCTTATTTCAGTAGGAATGGTATACTTACAAATCCTTTACACAACTGGGCTCAAGTAAACGCAGCTAGCACTTAAACACACCTCACAATCTTTCCTCTTTTAACACATTTACCCTTACTTCTTACTTCGAGTTGAAGTCTCTTGTTGGGTTACCTGACGTGACCCTCATCTCTGGCAGAACTGTGCCCGGATATAAACCTGCTCATTAATAACTTAATCTCTCTTCAACATAAACTTTTTCAGACTTGCAGAGAAAGTATAACTTAAATTTTGATATTACCGGCCTAAACAGCACCTCAGAGCAAGTCCATCTAAGAGCACTGGAAATTAAGTCACCCTGGTTTCCCAGTTGTTTGCCTTTCACGGCAGGTTAACCTTAACATGCAAAAGGCTGACACTCCAGCTCGCGGTTTCCCTGTGTTAGTTTCCTAAAATTTTAAGGCATTAGCCGAATATGCAACCACTTCCCTCAGTTAGGGTGCTCCTCTCCACCTGGCCGGCTACTTCCACAAACTCAAGAGGAATTTGTGCTTTGTGGTAAGATGTGCAGAGACATATGGAATATATGGATGTCATATCCAGCATAGGACATCTCCAGAGCTAAAAAGAGATGGAAGCTTTGGAAATATGTAGGGGGAATAGCCATGTACATGGGCTTGCAATTACTGATCCGTAAGCATCCCCTAGGTCTATGGTGACTGCCAGAAATAGGATGAGCTGCTGGCCTAACGCAGTAAGGCTGCTCTTGTGTGTTCCTCCTTCTGTTAAACACGGCTAATAGCTCAAATATTAGCTGGAAAGGGAAGAAACAACACGTTCCTCAGCGTCTCTGCAAGGATTTAGGTTGCAATGCGCCTTCCAGCTGAGCGCTTGGTGTCTAGGCAGGTCTGGGCAGCCACGCGGGGCTCCACGTGGGCCAGCAGACCCCTAAATTAGCAAATATATAAACTAAAAAAGAATAAAAGGGAAAAAAAAAAAAAACAAACAAGCGAGCTGAGCCCCCCCCTTCCCCCCCTCCCCCCCAGTACCGTCGGGGCGCTGCGTGCGGCCGCTGATGTAGCCCCGCAGCTTCTTGACGGCGCGGTCGCGGATGCGCTTCTCGTTGGCGGCCAGGCGCTGAGCGAACTGCACCTCAGGCGCCGGCACGGCGGCGGGAGCCATGGCTCAGCCCGGCTCTGCCCTGCCCTGCACAGCCCAGCCCAGCCCGGCTCGGCTCGGCTCTGCCCGCACGCTGCCGGCCCAGCACAGCCCTGCCCGTCCCGGCGCTTCCCTCTGGCGTCATCGCGCTGCTGCTTCCTCCAGCCAACCTCCTCCCCCTTCCTTCTTTCCTTCCCCCCCCCCCTTCCCGCGCCCTGCCCAAATAAGGTTTTATTCGTCGCCGGTGACGTCACGGGGACCCGGGCGTGACGTCACGCGCCCTGCCATGCGGCGCCGCGCGGGCCTCGAGGGGGACGCGCAGGTAGCGCGGAGGGCGGCGGGGGAAGGGGGGAGCCGCCGCCGCCATTTTGTGCTGGTCGCTGGGTGCTGTGGGGGGTGCTGTGGGGGGCTGCGCTGCCTCTATTGGAAATAAAAACTGTCTGAACGATGCGTGTGCGATGAGAGAGAGACACGCAGGGTGGTTTTGCTGCGGTGTGCTGCTTCAGCAGTGTGTTTTGTTCTGGTTCTGGTAGCAAATGATGCTATTTGCCTGCTTCTGCCACGTTTCGAACACTACTGGTCTTTCTGGTCTTCATATCATTACAGGCATTCACATGCCACTCCGTCACAGAGTCCTGCTGCCATATATGCCCTCCATACGTTCTTGAGACCGAAATCAGTTGTTTTTCAGTGACTCGTGTGATGTGGTGGCACTTGGCCGTGCTTTGCCATAAGCACTTCCTAAATGTGACTTTAGTTGCAAACCTTCCTTCCATGCCTTCATTCTGGGTCTGATGTCTCTGAAGAAAAATTAAAGAGTATAGTAGTATTCAGAAAGAGCAGTCAGGTATTAGAACAGGTTGCCCAGGGAGGTGGTGGAGTCACTGTCCCTGGGGGTGTTCAAGGAAAGGTTGGACGTGGTGCTTAGGGATATGGTGCTTAGTGGGTGACATTGGTGGTAGGGGGATGGTTGGACCAGATGATCCTGGAGGTCTTTTCCAACCCTAATGATTCTCTGATTCTATGAAGTGGGAAGGCTGGAACTGGCCTGCTTTGTCCATGCAAGTGTCTAGGATTGAGAGAGGGAGGAAAGAAAGTGGGCAGGAAGCAAATGTATAAGAAAGTGGTTAACCTGAGGGAGTAGGGAAGTAGAACTGTAAAAGGTGGCTGGGAAGGATAGAAATGGTAGTCCCATTTTCTGTGGGACTGGGAGAGGTACCCAGTAATAACAACCTCCATCAGTCCCAGGCAGCTTGACTTGAGATGGCTGTGGGGATGGCATGCGTTGTACCTCCAGGAGATGGCTTCTTACATTGTTCTCTGATACCCTCTTCCTTCTTGAAAAAGATGTTATAATCTACATAAAGGATCTCAATTACTGAGATTTGGAACATTCTCAGAAAGCAAAGTGGTGCTTGGAGATGTATTTTTTGCTTTGTGAAAGCATACTAGGTGCTTAATGTGTTAGGCAAGGGAAGTTAAACCTTTGTTGGTGTGTGTATGGTAACCTTTTTTAAGATACACCAGCGGGCATATATGCATACATTGGAAACTGGAGTTTAGGAGTTTTTATACAGAAATTTCTGTATCATCTTAAAATTAATGCATGTTCTCTTGGACTTCAAAATTGAAGTTATTTCAGAGCAGTAGCTTGACACAAGGGGAAATTAGTAAACGTTTTTCTTGTATTTACTTGGGACTGAGTCACTCCTATATGGGATTAGATTGCAAATTGTTTTTGCTCCTTGCAAAAGGTGAATTATTTTGAAAAATATAATTTCTTCTGAAAGAGCTGTGGTAATTTAGCAAAGGTGACTGAGGATCTTGCAAATACTTGAGCTAATTAAAAACAGTTATAGCGTATGCATTACAACAAAAACAATTGTCTCAAAACAATAGCTCAGCATATGTACATCTGTTAACAGTTTCAAACATGTGAATGTTAATTTTTGCAACGTTCTGAGGGACCTTGCACACATTTTAGGTGAAGAAACATGAAGAGAAGTAATATGGTTTGCTTCAGGCCAGAGTGGCAAAAATTAGATTACAGTCGTAGAGTTTCTATTCCAGAGTCTTGTTTTAAATTATTACTGGCTAGTTCCTTTTTAAAATCAGGTTACGAAATTTCTGAAATGCTGTGATGCAGAACGATCTTTTTGTCTGAGAGAGAAGGAGTACTGCAGAGCAGTAGTGGTGTCTTTGTTGTTGGTTGGAGGGTTTTTGTGGTGTTCTGTGGGTATGGTTTTTGTGTGTGTGTTGTCTTTGTTGTTTGTTTGTTTGTTTCCCAATTTCAGAAGGCTGAGACCAAAGAGGACTTCGTTAAGGTTAGAAGGAGTGATTTGGAAAGGCTGACAACTGAGGTTATGCAATTGCGGGATTTCTTGCCCAAAATATTAAATGGGGATATCTTGTGGACATTCCAGAAACTGGATGCTGTTGAGTCAAGTGAGTGGTACCATGTTGCAGTTTCTGTCAAAACTACTTAGAATAAACTGGTTTTTAAATGGTTACAGACTTTGTTGAGGTAATCCAGATTAAACTATAATGTTCAATGACTGCCTCATTAAATCGATGTGATTGTAATGAGGAAAATTAGAAACTACGTTAGAAATAATTAGACTTACGTCAAATTAATCTTTAAAAATATTTTGCTGTGGACAAAAACATACTTAATTCAGCCAGTAAAGGAAGCTGTATCCAAAAAAAAAAAAAAAAGAAAGTAATTCTTCTTTGAGAGAAGAGGTAAGTACTCTGTTTTTCAAAACGTCTTCTGAGATGAAAAACAAAAACCAAAATAATGATGAATTGCAGCAGATAAGAAGTTAAATCTGACTGAAGAGGTAATATTTTTATATCTAGTTTGTCTTGGGTTTAGCTTGTATATTTTTTATGGCCGTAAGTATAATAATAATAAAAACGTTGGAGACACTATTGCAAAAGTCTTTTTACTGCTGTCCCCAGAGTCCATTTGTTCTGTGTTAATTCTCTTTGCATTATTTTTCCAACAACTAAATCACTTCCAACATGACATCAGGACCAAATCTGAGCCAGATCCGTGCCTAGCATGTAGCTTACGTGCAGCAATACAATTCACTCGTTCTCCTAGGAATCGCTTTTGTCTGAAAAGACATGGGACAAGTATCCAAACAGATTAGAAAGGGTGTATCTTCTGGAATATTAAGTGATTAATCGAAGGTTAATTTGCAAAGTCTGGCTAAGAAGTCTGTCTTGGTGCTGAGTCTGTTCTTGACTCCTGCTGTGTGGGACTCCCTCAAACACCCAAGCAGCCAGGCCAAGGAGGATCTGTCTAGCATGTCCCTTTCTCCTGGTGTGGGTGTCCACATTCAGAAGGCCTTCTGAAATGACGTCTTGGTGTCAGACAAATGTGGAACCACTTTTCGTAGGATCCTTTGGTTTCGGGTTGCTTTTCTACAATTAACTAATTCTTTACCGAGCTGTCTTAGAGAGAACTACAGTGGAATACCTAGAAAACATTGTGGCTCAAATGCTCGTGTTCTCCAGCGGTTCCTCCTCTTCAGAACTGTATGCTAAGCATTATGACTTGCTGCAGTCACTGGCAGAACCTTAGTGCCAATGCTTTTCATCCTTTTCTCCTCCAAAGAAAGACTAAGATAGAGCCTGAAGGCCCATCACTGATACCAAGTAGTATATTGAGGCCAAGTTTCCATCTGTCTCCATGATCCACTCTTTGGAGGAATTTTTCCATGCCATCAAATACCAATAGAGATGAGGAGACTGTTCCACCTGTCCCTCTTGCTGCCACTCAGGACATCATGTCATAAGAAGTGATGTAGGTTCTGGAAATGATCTGTGTTGTTGTACAACATCAAGGACTGTTTCCAGTTGGGTTAAGGATTCAAGATCCTCATCTAGTCAGATCCTTGATTTACCCATTTTTTTCAGTGCTCAGTGTGGAGATTTCTCACTGATTGTTACGCTCCTTGTGCCACAGATCAGGGTGACAGTGTCAGGGTTTGTGGTGTTGGCACAGGGATTTTGAGGCTTTCTTCCAAATGTTCTGCTGGCTAGCCAGTACTCTGTAGGCTCTTCGGCCTTGTAGGCCCGAAGCTGAGTCAACTTCAGATTATCTCACGTATATCCCCACAACAGAGACTTCCCTTCCAATTAATGATGTGGTTTGAATATTTATTCAGTCTTTTGCCACTCTTTTGCACTACAGTTGGACAAGTCAAGTGATTTTTGCTACTCCACTCTGCCCCCACCTCTGTAGTGGCGGAAGCATGCTGAGGGGAAGATTTGGTTCACGGAAGATGGGACGTCACAGGGACACCAGCACAGCTGCTGGCAGTCTTGGAATTACATCGCTTGTTGGCGTTCATTGTGATTGTACTCAGTTCTCCATTTGCCAGAGCTTTGAGAGCAGATCTCTGTTCTAGAAAATACCCTGGTGTGACCTATAGCATGGATGAGAATGAGCCCACCTGGGCTGAAATGTGCCACTTATTTTGTCCTGCCCAAAGCCTGCTTGTGAGTCTGCTGTTACTCATAGAGAAAAATGTCACTTCTTCCCAAAATGAGGTTTACTACTGCAGTTGTAATATATATTTCCTGTGTATATAAAGATGTCGTTCATATTTTTTGCTCATCCAAGTTGCTAGTGAAAGCTTCCTCTTCACTTGCATGAAGTAGACAGTGTCAGCTTCAAGATTTTAGTCTCCAGAGGGAAGGAACTTTTTTACTAGAGGGCTGGGACTTGCAGGCAGTGGGAGAACTGGTGAGACTTCCCTGTTGTGCTGGCAAGACCATGGTGTGCTGGCGGTGAGCAGCACAGCTGTGGTGGTGTTTGGTGCCAGAAAAATGCCTGGTGTTTATTCTGGCGTTCATTAAACTGCTGTGTGGTAAGGGGCTGTCAAATGTTGGGACTGGTGCATTCAACCTTGAATTCACTCCAGAGCAGAGGAGTACACAGCTGGGAGAGTTGATTGGACATAACAGAGGGAATTTCCAGGAACAAGACATAGCTAGAAGTAGGTTTCTTTTTATCAACTTAAAACACTACCTTTTTTTTTTTTTTTTCATATAGGGTGGACCTAAGCCTCATTTCCCCTGACGTAAAACATCTATAGAGTATAATACTTCCCCTTTTATCTGGAGGACGTTAAAAGATAAGGTGTAGTGCTGTATTGACACACAGTAGTTAATGGCATTCCCTTTCTCCTGGCTCAGTTTTGGTTCCAGGTCCTTTGAAGTCCAGCAGTGAAGGATGCAGTGTCTGTGTGCCTGCTGGCTGTGCTGCTGCTGAATTCAGGGTGGATCCATCCTCCCATAGGCAGGAGGTGATTCTTTTCATTCTGGAGAGCCCCTTTCCTTCCAGAGCCAGAGGATTTCCCTGGGGGTTGGTTCCACTGGATGTACTTGGCAAGGATGAAGAGGTTCTTGCATTGATAAGCAGAGCATGCCCTGCTCTGACTCAAGATGCCTTTCCCTCAAGCACTTAAGACCCACATTCACATGGTAATAGGTGTGTGGGACTGGACTTTCTTCACTTCAGGGAAAAGAAGGTTTCCTACCATTAACTTGAGTAGTTCCTCAAAAATTCAATCAATTCCTTTCATTTTAATGATTTTCCCTTGAGTTGCAGGTTGAAAAGAATTGAATGCTTGGAGAACGTGCCCTGGCACATATCTATTTCTTAGGAGTGGACCCTTTCCTTGCCTCTGTGGTTTCTGTTAAAAAATCTTAGTGAGGTGGCTTAGAGTCACACAAGAGCTGAGGGAAATATGTTCCACCTTTTTAGAAAAGCTGTATGTAGCTAAATTATCTTCATTTATAGCTGCTACTCAAAGCAATGTGTGTGTATTTGAGATTATAATATTTTGTCCCTTAGGACAAAAATAAAGGAATTTATTTCCAAAAAATGTAGAATTACTAAACAAAATGCCAGAATCCAACCTCTTTGGATAGTAGGGGCTGTATTTTTCACGTTATCTTTTTATGGTTTAATATGATATGCTGATTGGTAAACACATTCAAAAATATTGACCACGTATAAGGCGAAGTACATAAAGTGTGCTAGGCTATAAACTGAACATTCATAGTCAAGGGTGTGGCGCTTGAAGTGGCCTGTAACTTGTTTTTAAACTAATAAAAAATAGAGTAGATACAGTTACCGCTTGGAATTACTTAAATATGTTTCCTTTTTTTTTTTTTTTTTTTTTTCCAGTATAAATACCAACCCCTCAGAACCATGGTTTTTAAAATAAAATACTAGATTTCTATATAAACCTCAGTAATTGTTAAAAATAACCTTCAGGGTGATTTTTTTAAAGATACCTGTATTTCAAAATATAGTGCTTTGAACTTGATTTCCATTCACTAAAATAAAGCACCTAAATTGTAATGTGAAATACATGTGTCTTACGTGACGTGATGACATCAGAGACTCATTTTTTAAAGGGAGTCAGTGATAAAATTTGTCACTGACAACGTTAAAATGGTTTATCATTTTTTTAAATGCTTTATAACTATTATTGAGACCAAAAAAGAAGAAAATTGACTACATTTTAAAAAATCCCTGGGGGTCTGGAGCTCGGTTCCAGAATGGTGTTTTATCAGCACACAGTATTTAGTAGATAGATGTGTTTCTTTCAGTCTTTCCCTGTTTTGAATCAGAAACATCTTGTCCATTTAGATTTTGTAGGAGCTCTGTGGCAGATTGCTGTATGTCACTTTAGCCACTAGGAGGTGGCCTAACACAAGCAAATATTTAACGCATCTGCATTTAGTGGATTCGTTTTTTTTTTGTGCAAGCCAGTTGGTCGTAACTTATTATTTCCTTTATTTAATTTATTCTATCACAGGCATGGAGAAAAAGGAGGAGGAACTAGAGCAGTTAAAAATGGATTGTGAACACTTCAGAGCCCGCCTGGAAGCAGCCCAGGCAGATTGCATGAGAGAGAAGAAGGTATATTTGTTGGTGGTATATTGATACCTGTGTTCTTGAGCTTTGAGAACAAGAGCAGTAGCGATCAATTTTCCATTTTCATGTCACATCATCAGCCTGGAAAACAGTCTGGGATTTCTATTCATGTAGTTAGATGATGAGTCAGCTACTTACCTAGAAGTTCATTACCATTTGATGCATTTTTCCCCAGTCGAAAGGGAAAAAGGTCAATATTATAACAAGATAAGATATGACAAGATACCAAAACAGTATTCAACATGTATGGATACAAGTTCAGTGAGCAGGCAGTCTGTCACTTACATACATAACTCTTCCATAACTGCATAGATCTCTCGAGCTTGCTTATCCTGCGAGGTGCAGCTGTGTGGGGTTGTGTTCTGGGCTTCTTGGTAGGGTTCTTCCCAGTGTTAGGAGTGTTAAAAATCAATCATTATCATTTTGCCTCTATTAACATGCTGAAGTAAAACAATGGGTATTTGGGAAGATTGTGGTGCAGTTGGCATTGAAACGGTACTTTACAAAATCATATTTTTTTTCAATTCAGTGTAACTATGACATATTTTCAAAGAGAAAAATAGAAGATAATGTAAGCCACGCAATATAGAAAATGAAACTAGTTTCTTGTTTGGCTTGCTTGAAGCTGTGTACCTTTGTTTAGTTTTAATAGCCTTTCTCAGCGCACTTATTGATCCAACTGCCATGTACAGCTGCGAGTCAAAACAGAATTACAGTGCTCCTTTTGCTATGTCAATATTGTGCTTAGTGATTATAAGAGGAAAGTTGTTCACAGTGAAGGAATAACCCAGACCATGACCTCTCAGACTGCAGATCTTCCGTGAAGCCTTTTGGATTCAAACAGGATCACACAGACCAGTGGCTTAATCTTTGAGAGGGATGTGTGAATCAGTGCTGATTATTTGCCTGTGCAAGTTCACTTCCTCGGAACTGTGAGCTGTCTCCTGTAGTCAGCAGAATTTCATCTTGCTGGGCTTCTAGAGATAGCATCTGCCAGGTAGGGGGTTGCACAAAGGCAGATGAGTCTACAGAAATGACTTAATTTTTGAAAAATAAATAAGTGAAAAGATAAGACTTGCCGTTTTAGGGCACATCTGTATGGAGAAGTCATTCTGGAATGAAGTTTGGTAGCCAGTGTGATGGAATAGCTGTCTATTTGTGTACTCCTTACTTCAAAAGAAGTATCTTTGGGAACAGCTATTTTGCAATAGCTACTTAGTTTTGCTGTGGTTAGTTGTATAAGCATCCAGGATGAAATCTCTCTAGTATTTCATGCTGCTTAGATATTAATGTTTAATGCTGTTGTAGCTACTCAATAAGTGGGCCCCAACTTTTATGCATGTTAATCTTACAGAACGAATGAGAGGTGGTGTAGGTCTGTGATTTCTTTTGGATGAAACTCCTAGTTCAAGCACGGATAGTTTACTTAGAGTAGCAGTTCTTGTGTTCCAGATCAAAGCTCTTCTCTTCTTGTCTTTGCTGTAGAGCACTATACATCAGTTGTCTAAATAGCTCCTGTCATATCCCACAAAAGTCTATTTGAGTGGATTGAGCTTATATACATTATGAAATCCTTTAGCTCTTTGGGATAAATGATGATGTTGTGTGTGTGATTTTTTGTTCCTGTTAATCACTTTGCACAGTGTGTTTCATTTGCTTGCTGTTCTGCTGTAGGCATCCTTGCATATAGTTCCTGAATTATTTTCTACATATTTATCTCCTGAAGGAAAAGGAAGTGATACACTGAAACGATCATAAAGTAAATGCCTTTTCTGGTTGAGCAGTGCCCTTTTCTTAGGGGATCAGCAATCAACATTCCGTTTTACAAAATTTCTTTGCAGTGTTGTGTCGCTGATTAGGGAATTGCGCTGCTTTCTGAACCTGAGCAAAACTTGAAGTGCACATGTTATTCTTGGCTAATGCCTTCCTTGCCTTTTTGTAGTTAGGTACTGAAGTGCTGCTGTATTTGTGTGCCTTGACCATTTCCTGAAGATGGTGGTGTTGCACAGCACAGTAATTGCTTCGTGATGTGAACTCTCAGGAGTGCTGCTTCCAGATAGGAGCTAGGTTATTTGCTTTTGCAGGCTCTATTTGTTTTCTTGGCTATTGAACGGACTACTTTGTTTTCCTTGCTTCGTACCTTTGTTCTGGTGTTGCTTTCGATGTATTCAAAATTCTGGCATTTCTTGTGGTGGCTTTGCATCATTGCTGGGGGAATCTAACTCTTTGGTATGGCAGAGTTTTGTGTCTCAGCATTGTTATAGAGGAATTAAGAGTTAAGAGACTTTTCCTGGCACTTCATGCCTAAGAAATCAACAGCAAGTGTCAGCCTTTTGCATGTATTGAATTATAAGGTGAGAGAGAGTCCAGAGAGAAAATACACACAGCAACCTGCTTCATAAATTTAATTTGAATTTTACAGACTACACTCTGTGTGTTCCATTAGCAGCATGATAAAGCAACTCAAATATGTCTGTCAGATGTGGTACAGGAGGTTAGGTGGGTAATTGATGACAAACAGAAGACAAGCAGCTTTGTACTTTGTAAATAACATGCTACTTAGATTTGCAGATGAGCTTACCTTTCTGTTCTTTCCAAACCATTGAGGTGAACCCCTAAAATGACAAGATACTTATTTTAAAATCTCATTGGGAATACATGCCTGAAAGTTTTGTTGTGTTTGCTTACTTTCCAAAATGACGTAGAAAAGATCCCTTCTCATTCCCCAGACTTCATCGTGATAACCAGATGTATGGGGAAGGCTGGGTTGGGGAGGGCGTTTTCTGAGCTGAATCTGAAAATCACATACCCCCAAAATGGACAGAATGAGATGCGGCAGCTTCACTACCCCGTGGCATTTTCTAGCAAGCCAGTGAGACATAGAATCATACCAAATCTCATGATATCTTCTGGCCAGCTTCCCATCGTATTGGAAGGAAGCACTGGCAAACTGAAACCGTGTCCTGGTTGTATTGAATTGCTCTGTGCTTTCTGCAAGCTCGCTCAGGTGATGGATGCATGGTAGAGCATGGGCTTTTCTGGTCCTAAGCGTGAAAGGTGCTCTAAACTTCAAACCTTAGGCTTGTTTTTCTAGGGACTCTGTCTCATTTTGCCACTGCTGTTCAGGAATGTGCCAGCTGAAAGAAGTTGGAAGAGACAACAGGATTTATCCTAGATAGCCAGCAACCCTGCCACATTGGCTAAGGCGGTCCATTTGGAAAAACAATCCAACTCTCTCTTCCTGTAAGATGTGCCCATTATCTTTCGTAAGGTGGCTGGAAAGGCTGACCTCTGAAATCCTTCCCTTTCTCGGAGACATGCAGCTATTTGCTCAGGAGTCGACTTTCCTATCAGGCTTCTCTAGGTGCCGCTCAGTCTGAGTGGGTCACTTGGGCTGACCTTGTGGACAGGCTTCTGGTTACTGTCAGCCTACATGATAGACACACGACTCAGATAGAGCTCAGGAGAGAAGGTCTGCATCTGCAACTGCTGTGAATTTCCCCCCCCTCTTTCATATATGGCCTTGATGATGTTTCTTGTTCTGTCCTGTAGCCTAAACACCTGGGCTGACAGAAAATGCAACCAAAATTTCCTTGTCCTGTTTCAGGAGAAACTAGACCTCCGGCAGCACCTGCATGAGGCTAAGCAGCAGCTCCTGCAGCAAGCAGAGTATTGCACAGAGATGGGTGCAGCGGTGTGCACCTTGCTGTGGGGTGTCTCCAGCAACGAGGAAGCTGTTAAAACCATCCTAGGAGGAGTAAGTATGGCAGGGGAACGCTTAGCAGTGGCAATGCTGTTGGGTATTTACAAGAAGTACCTTGCTCTGTAACACACTTTAATGTAGGGATATATCTCAGAAACTAATTGGACAGTAAAAATGTTTTCTGATTTGTATGTTTTTTGGGGAAAACCCATTTTTATTTAAGAAGCGCTGGAGCTATTTAGCAATATGTAGCAGGCTGGGAATAAGTGCAGTAATTAAATTGCATGTTATCAAAGGATTAACTGTTTTCCACCACACACAGTTAAATTGGAAGCAAGGCTACAGCTAGCACAACGTAAATATCTTTGCAAGCTAACACTACTTGCACAAAAGACTTGCACTGTGCACAAGCAGCGGTTCCCATGCCAGCAGAAAGCTTGGAGGAGCCAATTCCATGGAAGAGAAGATACATCCATCAATTCTCAACTCCTTTAAATCTTCATCCTAATACAGTCTTTGTGCTAACTTAATATTTGCTCGAGTCCTGGAAATTTAGAATGCCTAGCTGTTTCAAGTCTACTGAATCTCATTAAATGATGAACATGGACAGGTATTTTATTAAATGCAAATAAACACAAAGCAACCCAACAGTTAAAGACAATGGTAATATTACAGCCAACACAAGTTCACTGCCACGTGCAGCTGATGGAATTAGGAAGGATCAGAAGAACAAGGCTGACAAAAATACAATTTTCAGTCTTGCCATAGCCACCATGAGAGGAACTTCTACTGAAGCTGAGTGAACTGATGCCACAGTTTCTTCTGTCTTGATTTTTCAGCAACATGGTGAATATCTGAGTGAATAGTGTTAGTTCATTACAATTAGTGGTGAACTAGTGTGCTTGTAAAAGCTTTTTCAGATCAGGCGCACCAAAATGCAAGTATAACTTTGTATTGGGTATTAAAAAGCTGTACAGTGATACCTTTCATTGATAGCTTTTGGTAATTCAAGATACAAAATACAAAAAAACTGACAGGCAAGCAGGTGCTACAAAGCCTCCACATAGCAAGAAAAACAGTATAAAACCACATTGTGTATTTCGGGACAGTTTATAGCTGTAAGAGCAGACAATTGTCTGGTGACTCGCCATCATTACTTGACTTGAGAAACGGTACTGAAAGGGCACACTCCCTTCAAACAAAACACTAGTGCCATAAATTACCACTTTTGCACAAGATGAAAGTAAAATTAGTGGAAGCCTTTTTGGAAGCAGTCTTAAATATCACAATTAAATGGAATTGAGTAAAACCAAAATCGATACAGAGATGATTTGTGCAAGGCCTTACTATGAAGATGCCATACTTTTGTTTATAAGCTTATTTGAAAGGCAGAATGCTTCTGCTGTAGTCATTCCTAGCAATCATTAGAGCCCACTGAACTTCTGCTCTTCCAGTGAAGGTCATAGCAAAATTTGTGGACATCATTTTCTTGTGTTGGTGCGCATAACATGATAAGAAAAGTGGCTGGGTTTGCACCAAGACTACTAGGAAAAACATAAAAGGATTGCATGGCATTGCATCGACGACAGATTACAGCTGACAGTGAGTCAGGTTATTAAGAGACGATGGAGATTTGTCATAAAAAGTTTTTGGTTTGTGTTATTTTTGGACAAGCTGTGATGCCTGTGGCATCTTCCCCCTTCCCCTGAGAAGGTGCTACGAACTACAAAAATGTATAAGAACATCAGGAGTGCTTTCAAGCTATTGCTCATATTTAACTGTGTGGGGAAGGGTGGCATCAATTCAAGATAATTTCATGCCTTAGGGACCAATGTTCAGCTTTTTCAGTCATTGCACAGATACAGAAGTAGGTCTTTTGTACAGTTCTGTAATGCAGATTGACTGAAATGGTGTTTGTGACTAATAGAGCGTTCGTGTCCATATGGGTTAGGCAAGCCAAAACTTGAGCAGCAAATTTGAACTGTAGCACAAGTAGTTTGCAAGGCATTGGGTGAGAAATGCCAGGTGTTCCTACCCAGGCTCAACATTTCTAGAGCTTGGAGAAGCATCCAGAGAAGCAGCATGAGAGTTTTCAAGTATGCCTACCTGCATGTGCCAAAGATGAATTAATTCCCATGAGATTGTTCTAGATGTCTTTCAAAAAAAAAAACCTGCAGCTGAATATTCACTTCTCAGGGCTCTAATTTTGAAACAGAAACTGAAGGTTTGATTTCAGAATGGCAGCAGGGTTTACTTCAGCCTGAGAAATTTTAGATCCTACGAAGTGGTCGGCTATTTCAGTTACCTGCTATGGTGAAAAATGGCTTTGCGTTTTATGGCATGGTACCTGATGTTTTCATTCAGGGTTTCCTTGGCATGCCAAGGGCTCCTTACACCATCTGAGCTCAAGCACGTCAATGGCTGCTCTCAGAGCTGCCCTTATCTCCATGTCTGTGAGTGAGAGATTCTTCAGCTCCATGAAAGCACTGTCAAGCTGATTAGGCTGTGCAGAGTATGTAACATGCTGTTTATAAACCTGACTGGTTTCTGCCTCAGCTTCTCAGACGTCCCCGCTAGTTAAGGAATGGTTGTTTGGAAAGAAGAAGGCTCAGCAGAGAGGACACCAGTGGCACCTCAGGAGGCTGACAAAAGATTTTGTCTGGGGTCTGTGCAACATACCAACTACTTGGTTTGCTTAGTACTCTTTTGTGTTTTCATGTGAATTCACTTTTTTATAATAGCTTATTCTAGTCTGCAGTAGTAGTCTCTCTTCCTTCACTTTATTTCATGTGCTTTGCTGCTTGAACTGTCATCACTGCTTATGTTAAAATGACCTTTTTTGAGGGACATTGCCCATATAAGTAGTTAAAGTACACCCGGACGAAGCAGAAGTGCATTCTTCTGCTCTCTTCCCCATGATCCCTTTATTCCTGTTCTTCGGGGACCACAATTTAATTTGTGAAGAAATGGAGTATTGGCTGACCCTGCCTTTTACTCCCTGTTGCTGGAATCGCCCCGCAGGAACTGTATTCCTTTCCTCCCAAAATACGTCTTTGATGTGGTCAATGTGGAGCAATGGAGGAATAAATGAATGGTATCGGTAGATTTGTACATATTGTGACGACAGTGGTTGTGATAAAATACTGAATTTCTCAGTCATTTTGAAAAATGAATAGATGCTCTGGAATTTCACAAAATGATCGTAATTTCTAGGCACTTTCTTGAACTGCCTGGCTGTTCTACTGGGTTGCTGCAGGAAATTACTAGAAGTTTCAGCTCTCTCCTGAAACAACTAGCAAAATTATTAAATGCACTGGGAAATCTGGGCTTCCTGTTAGGCTATTTATTTATTTTTTATTTTTTTACAAAAAACAGAATTCTCTGTGGGAAATAGTGTTTCAGCAATGTTTTACAGGTCAGAATTACTAATAAACAGGAACGATTCTTTCAGTTCTTCTCTGTGGGTTCTGCCTGCTCTTCTGACAAGGCTCTTTGATCTGCTCTGAGCTTTGTGCTGGCCGGTTGGTTCTTCAACTGAGACACCCCAAAACAGAGCAGTATTCCTGCTGAGGTCTTGTGCTGCCTGGGGAAGATTGCATCACATAATTATGGGCTGTACTTCTGACACTGCTGACCAAAATCCAACCTGTGACCCAGAAGAGACCTCAATTTCCTTTTCCAAGGAACTTCTGCGTAGTCACTTGTTCTCCAATCTGTGTTGAGCAATTCATGAATCCTTTTAGGATCCAATCAAATGCTTATTTGCTGGGCATTTAATCCGTTTTCGTAGGAAATTCATGTCAAACCACTAACTTAGGCAGCTGTCCAGTCTTCAGCTGGATAGGATGTTGACCCAAATGGCTGTTTTGAAATGTTAATATGAAACACCTCATGTGACTACTGCAAAGCAAAAAGCTACTGTCCTCAGTGTTGAGACTAAGGATTAATTCTATTGTTTGATACGTATTCCTGTGGGTTTAGAAGGTCAATACACAATAGTATAGTCTTAGAAATAAATGTAGCATTGAGTAGTTTCCCATATTCTCCTGAGGTAATGGTTTCTAATATTAGAGGATTAAACACATCACTTAGTGTGTACCTGCTGTTTTCCGCTGTCTTGTGAGGTGACTGGATGTCTTAGGAATATTGCAGATTGTCCAGCTGACTGTAGCATCTAATAATCATTGTTGCTGTAGTGTGCATAATCCTTTTTTTTCTCCTCCACACTTGCAGAGCAAAGCAGCAAAGTTTTTTACAATCACTGCACAGACTATGGAGAGCTTTGTGAAGTCATTAAGTGAAGACATGAAACAGCAGGATTTGGATTCTGATGAAAATCAGTTTGTGTTAGCTTTGGCAGGGATTGTAACAAGTGAGTTCATGTTCTCTCTCAAAATAGCATTCTGTAGGCACTGGGATTTTCCACATGCCATGTAGGTACTGCAATAATTACAGCTTTTTGAAGTCAGTTATGTAGTATTTTGGTGACTTCCTATTCTTTTAAGGTTCTAAGAGATTTTGTCATTTGGCAGCTCTGTGAGGAGTTGTACTTTCTGTAGCTTAGTTCAGGATTAGATGTATAAAAGCCATTCAGTTTTGAAATTCCTTAAACTTCTGTTCAATCTAAGGTAAAAAAAGGGCCATTTTACCCATCATGTATATTCACATTACTTTGTAAATGTCAAGCAATACACTTTCTGAATCACCGGTAATTCTAACATTTTAGAGATGTTCTAATCTCAAATTAATTGCAGATGGTGCAGCCACCTCAAGGTATGTGTTCAGCATTTTGAAACTGTGTGAGAATTTTGTTGATGCCAGGTGGACTCTACCTTCACTGTCTTCTAGATCTCCCAATTCCATGGTGCTAAGAGAAGTAAAAGTTAACAAACCTAACTTCCTTAACTTCTATACTAAATATTTATTTTAGAAGCCACGCATCTGTCTTAGTTTGGCTGCCCTTGACTTGGAAGGCTATTGGAAATGGGGACGATATCTCAGCTGCATTTTTGTGAAACGGTGCAGCTCTCAAAATGGCATCAGTTAATGTCATGATGTAAGGCAGATGAAACAATGGGTATTTATACAAGTCAGGGAATCGTGCATTAACAGCTTTCTTGAATGTGTGATTTTAGGTGTCGTGGTTCCATTGAAGATTATAATAAAGCACAGGATGTGGCACACTGTGCCACTGTACCAAGTAAAGGTGTGATGCAGTTCTCTCCCATAGCCTCATTGGAGGAAAAAGAAAAAAGAAATCATAGCAAAAGCAATGTCTGAACAAAGAAAACGTTTAAAGGCTTGGATGGGGAAGGATGGTGGTGTTCTGCCTGAGCAGGAATCACTGTGGTGGAATGAAATCTTGCCTCACTGAAGCTTATACAATTTTTTCCAGTGAATTTGTTAATGCCAAGATTTTTCTGTTTGTAATTTAGGAAAGGGGTTGCTGAAACTTCAGCATGATAAAGGTTGCTGGAAGATACCTCTTGCATAGGAGGATGCCCTGAATTATGGGGCAAGCATAAGGAAAAGCATTTCAGGAAAATATGTTTTGGAGCAGTAGTTGCCGGAAATGTTTTTGCCTTTTGGTTTGTGCATGAATATTGCAGAGAAATAGAAAAAGAACTTTTGAGTAGACTTTCACAAGCGTTTCAGTTGTGTAATGTGCCAGGCACATTGGATTGACTGATTGTAAAACAATCTGCAATCTCATTTTTGTAAAACGGAACCTATGATGATCAGCTCTGCTTCATTCCCACATTACTTGCAGATGTCAGCTCAGAACTGCTTAAATCCAACATTTTGTTTCATGATTCACTGTGTTACTATTAGGATACTGGCCACCCTGAATAAATATTTGAATTATCAAAGCAGGATTATGAAGGAGTTTAATCAGTATCATTTGCCGCTTCAGTATTTGCTGTGTAGATGGTTATAATTTGAAGTTTATATAGATGCCATAGTTCATTCTTCACAGCTGACATTTTTTTTAGTTGTCCTCATAATTAGCATAAACCTTTGTTCGAAACATGAATTTTTAGAGTAATGTTTTGTGTTCTCTCACAGATGTGGCTGCGCTGGCATGTGGCCGTGAGTTCCTGGTTACTTCAAGTCGTGAATTGTTGGACACAATGGTGCACCTCCTGGGAGACATGAAGCCTGGACTCTGTACCAAATTCAAAGTGTATGGTGACTTTTTTTTTTTTTTCAAATGAAATCCATTACCTTACAGTGCAGATCACAGTGATTACAGGAGTCTTCCCACTCTTCCATTATTTCCCTTTCATGGAGATCACAGAATCACAGAATGGGTTGGTTTGGAAGGGACCTTAAAGCCCACCTGGATCCACCCCCCTGCCATGGGCAGGGACACCTCCCCCCAGCCCAGGCTGCCCAAAGCCCCATCCAGCCTGGCCTTGAGCACCTCCAGGGATGGGGCACCCACAGCTTCCCTGGGCAGCCTGGGCCAGCACCTCACCACCCTCTGAGTAAAGAATTTCTTCCTACTATTTAAATCTGGTGGTGACATGAGAAATAATGGTTGGAAAACTGTTTTCACAGCAGCATTCTTTGCATATGCACTAGGCTTGGCTGCAATGCTGGCTTCAACCAGGGTGTGTGTCTCTTTGAAAGTCTCTTAAGCACTGTAATATTGTAGGGATGAGCAGGGATATGCTCCTCTGGCTTACAAGGGGCTCATGTTTTGATAAGGAAGGTGTGAGGTCAAGCTTTAAATAATAACAGTGGGAAATGTGGACTCATATTTGTTCCTTTCCAATGTGAAGAAGACTGTAAAATTCTACATCTGCTTAGTGAAAAAATGTGGTTTGCTAAAAGCAAAAATTAGATTACTTTATCCTACTTTAATAGCCAGAAGCACCATACACTTACATTTCTAAAAGGTGCTGCCTGTAAAGAGACCTTGTGATGCCAAGTTGTAAAGAAAAGACCTTAAGGCCATGTTACACTATTCAGACACTGGAAAAGTTGTACTTACCAGGTGGTGGAGGAATGAAATAAACTGTTGGCTTTTCCTTTTTTCTCAGAGCTATTAAAAGCTGAGGATATGTGGCTTCAAATTTTAAGCATATGTTGCATTAGCTTGAATTCAGTGCTATGATAATGTTATCCAGTGTTTCACAAAGATAGAAATGTGGTGTTTTTTTCCCCTCTTACTCTGAACTTGCCATTTGATTAAAAAGCAAGCAATCCCAAAACAATGCTGTATTGTGACATTACAGCAAATGCCAGAAATGAGATTTCTTCATGGCCTTGTCATGGAATGAAGGATCCTAATTTGCTCAAATGTTTTAGCACAAAATGTTTCCCTGTGTTTGTCTTTACATCTGTGGTCAGGTTTCCTTTTTGTCTGTAAGCTCCCTATGTGTCTTGTTGGTGTTCAGTTCCTAAAACTCATTACTAACACTTACCTCTCCATTAGCCTTTCTGGAGATTTTCCACTCTCCCAGCTCAGCAAAGAAGGTTATTTTGGGGGGGTTGTTTGTTTGTTTTTAAGTTGTTCACTGCACGTGAGCTTTTTGGCTGCATGTTGATTCTAAATAACATTTTCCTAAGCAGACATGCCAGAAGAACTCTCTGCCATAAGGAACATAAGGTAGTTCAAAATGAAAGACAATCACAGGATAAAGATATGATAGTTAACAGAAATTATAGTGAAATTTAAGAGTTATATATAGACAGAGTCATCATGAATTACGTTTATATACACCCATACACACTCATATATACATACAGACAGACAGATTTTCTCAGCTATATCTCATAGATGGAAATGTCCATTATTGTGGAAAGGCAATGTGTTTCTCTTAAAACATCACCGTGGTGTTACATGGAAGGAAAACAACAACTTAAAATGTAAGCAATAAGAGAGAAAAATTGGCTTCATATTTTCAAGGATGTGTTTGTTCTTTGCTCAGTTTTCTTGTTTTAAAAATCTTTGTTAGCTTATATTTTAAAAAATATTTTTCTTTTCTGTGTGACAAATCAGGGGAAACTGAGTTAATTCTACACAGCAGTATCAAACGCAAAGTAAACTGAAAAAGAATTCTCTTTTAGTTCTAGCAATCATGTTTTACTTGTAACAGCATATAAATAAAACATTTACAGAGAATAACTCATTTATTCCAGCACTGCTACAATATCCATTCTAGTCTATGAGCATGTAATAGGTATAACCAAGACATCTACATGAGTGCTAGGGCTGAAATCTCATGGTTTCTTTGCCTTTCTGAAACAGTGGTGTTGAAAGATTATAGATTTTCTTTTCATTAGTATATGCTTTGTTCAACATTTTTAATTATTAGGCAATCAATAACATTTACACAATTGTTTATATTGAATTGTTAAGAATCTTCAACTTTGCTTATGTGGTAATTGAAAGCAGACAGTGAAAAGATTTGGTTGTATATACTAATCCCATGTATTATCAGTGAAAGAGAAAAGAGAAGGGACTTTAGCTGTGCTTTTAGTTCTAGATTTTAAAGAAAGCATTGACAGATACAGTAGTACATGACGTTAATTAAGTTTAGCCTTGCCTAAGTGTGAAGACTACAAAGTACGTAACTAAAAAAAACCTTTAATGTTAACAAAAACCAGAAAGTATTGTTTATAAAGTAATTCTGTGCATCAGGTTTCCTTCAATAAGAATACGGATTTCGAAAAATACTTGTTGGAATGTGCAAGAGGTGAGGCTGGTTTGAAGTATCTGCAAAAGTTTCTACATTGTGCCCACGTGAGCATGTTTAATTAGTAATAATATGCTGCTACTTCTGGGCTAGCCATTTAACATTGGCTTCTGGTGTGGGTTAAGTCTTCTGCCACTCCAAACAGCAGCACTTTCCTGGATCACCACCACTACGCTGTCTCTTTCGTCTGCACAAAGCAAACAAGTAAGAGAAAAATACAGGCATAGCATCTTTTTATGTCACATTATTTCTAACTACAAATGTCAAACAGGTTAATGATGAAAGACATTGACAAGAGATGTTACCACTTTCCTTTATAAGGTATTGTCTTTTTGATCCCTTTCATTCTGGCTAATTATATGTAATTACGACTGCTGTCCTTTGTCAGGGCTTGGATTCTCGAACCCAGCAGGAGCTGCAGGGGCCATATGAAAAGCAACACATGGGCTTTACAAGCTGCAAATTCAGCTCCACAGCACCCTGCACTGCTTGTTGGTGGCCCCTGATGGAGCAGATTTAATTATCTACTATTCCTTCTTCTAACTACTTAAGAGCCTAGGTGATCAAACTGGTAATAGTGCGGCACATAATATAACTCACACCTCTTCCACTGCTGCCTGAACTGACTCGTGTTGCTTTCCATTCCTGCTGTCTGACAGTACTTTCAGAAATGTTGGTGGTGGCATAGTAACTTCAGGCATGGCCGCTTGTTTGAGTACAGGACGTGAGGTGTGAAGTCCATGAGGAACAACATTATTTCCCTCTTGCTTGGAAATGGTGACAGTATAGGGGCAGGCAGGTTTATCGCAGCCAGGAGAGATAACAACAGCCAAGCTGGCCCCAGAACAGAGCAGCAAGTTCCAACCCATTCCTGTTTCTCCGCTATTGTTTTGTCTGCAACCCAGCAGCGCGCTGTGGGTGGGTATGATGACATGTTCCGTAAATGTTGGAGGAGCTGGGCTCATTCCTCTTCCCTTTCCGTTGTCCAGAAAACTGACTTGCACGCTGTCATCTTTGGAAAATAAATAGAGATTCACAACAACATCAACCGTAGCAAATCATAAAATGCACTAATATCCTGTCTTCCCAGCTACTGCACAGCTGCACAGATGTTCTGCGTAAAGGGCAGAGCAGGAGAATATTGCTGGAAGGATGGATGAAAGCAGAAGCTGCAGGAGCAGGCTTAATACCAGCAAAATCCTCTGCATTAACAGTTGTTCTGGGTAGCACTGGAAAGCTGAGGCTGAGGTGGCACCTACAGTCAACCCCGCTTTTCTTAATGGTTTTCAGATTCTTCAAGTTAGTGACCGTGCTGAAGCTTTTCTTGCTTGTGATAACTGCAGTGGAAGCCTCCTCGGGAGAAGCTGGTGGGGTTGGCAGGCTGGAGCCATCCTTTTCACACGCGGCGCCTTCTCCAACAAATCTGGTTTCGCCTCTGTAGGAAAATTGAGACTTTGGCTTAATTTATAACCTGTTTGGTATGCAGCCCTAAAAATGACTAATGAACTTCCTTATTTAGGGGGCTGGTAAATTAGGAAATGCAGTTTCTGGAAGCTTTTCAGAATGTGGTTAAAATTACTGTAGACTTGCTATGTGTATTTTTATTGTGTGGTTTGCACACTGATGTGCAGCGCAACTGTCAATAACAGCGGTCTTGGTTTCTGTTTGTCAGAGGTGTCATGTTAGATCTTTTTCAGTTCCCAAGTAAGTAAATGCTTTCTAGCTGCCAAACCGACGACTTCCCGTGTTACCTGGAAGGCAGGATATTGGTTCTGTCCTCTGCATCAATATGTGATGAGTGTAAATAGCAAAAGACGCAAAGAAATCAAAGAACGTCACTTCTTTTCCCTTTCCATTTCAGGCTAATGCTGATGTCACTTTACAACGTGAGCATCAACTTGAAAGGCTTGAAGTACATCAGTGAAAGTCCAGGTTTTATTCCCTTGCTGTGGTGGCTGTTGAACGGTAAGATGTTCTGAGAACCTTGCAGATTGTGACTTTGGGAACTGTGGTTTGGGAATAGGTATTGCAAATACCAAAATAGAAATTTTTATGTGTAACCTGATATATGTAAAGCTTTTTTCGGATTAAAAGTAAACAAAAAGGTCAAATAGCAGGAGATGTTCATTTCCCACCACATTTTTGGTGCTGTGTGTAATAACTCCATTAATACAAAATTTATGGGTGGTAGTATTACAAATAGGAAACGGTGAAATTTTGTGAAGTGCTTTCAAAAAAGCCACCTGTGTTTTCATGTGCCAACTTGAGAATAAAACCTGAGTGAAACTATTTATCACTAATATTTAACAAAAGAAAATGTGACTGTGTTCTGAGACATTTGGGGGAAATAAGCCAATCTCCGGAGCTACGCTCAGCCTGTGACAAAAGTGACCCCTTCCTCAGCTGAAGGCTGGCATTTTGCTCTAATAGGATTTGAGCTTGCCCGGCTTGAGTACTATTCCCAGCTTTGCCTTTGGTCAGTGCAGGACTTCAAGGACTTCTGTTGCCACTGTCAGCTACAAGACTGACATCAAGGCTCTGCTCTTTCAGAGGCTCCAAATCCCTGCGTAGGAGCCAGCAGAGATTGACGTTGGTAGCATGCGTTGGAATTTGGCTGGCAGCTGCGTGCACAGCTTGTCAGGGACAGTAAGGACAGCAGTAAGGACAGAGTCGTGACATTGCCCTGCCTGTGAACTGCTCCCGGAGTTTGCCCCGTCTTGGGTTTCTGCAGTTTCTGTGGCTTGCCCATGAGAAGATTTCGGTGTGCAGTTCATAGGATCAGGGAGGTTAGTCCTCTCTACTGCTGTGCAATACAAGAAGTAAATACAAAAGGTAGCTGAAGTGGCAGAGGTGGCACCTGCTTTTTCGAGGCACTAATTTAATATCAAAGTTTTTGAAAAGCTTAGGCTTGGGCAGGTAATCTGGAAGCTGCTCACAGTTCTCACAATTCCCTCAACTATTTTAAAGACAATGTAGGTGCTCACGTTTTTTACCTAACAACTTACTGCTTTGCACTGCCATAGGCTCACTCTTCTGTGACTTAGAAAATTTAGTAATCCTTCTAACACTGTTGAAAAGCACCTGTCTGTTTTATAGTTTTTAATGTAGTATGAGAAGAATCATGTTCTCAGAGAGAACTGAGTATATCATCCTTTATCCTGCCGTACGTAGAAATTTAACATATGTTAGCTCAGATTTCCTTTCACTTGATGTTTGGCTAGTATATACGTAAGCTGTTGCTCTAGTAAAACAAACAACCAAACCAAAACCTGAAAAACCTTGTCTAAATGTGAGTTCCCAAATGTACCCTTCCAAATGTTGTGATAAGACAAGGAAGCTAATCTTGTTTGATGCAGTCTATTGTTTGAAGAAGGCTCCCAGGTCATATAACAGGATGAAACAGGGCACAGTTATAAATAATTTGCAGCTGTTAATGGCAATAAGAAATTGAAAAGCTACTCTATGTTTTGAAAGCCTTAATCACGTATGGCAGGGTGGTGGAAGGAAAAGATGGGCATGGCTAATTCCTTTACTTTTTGATAATAATTTTCTCCAGCTACAGCAAAGGAGTAAGATTCTCAGATAAACTCCATCTGCTGGTTCAGATTTTTGACTTCAGAGGAAGTCTGCTTACTGTCAGGGGAGATGGCTGACCAGTTTGTATATCAGATGAGAGGTCAGATCCAAGACCCAGTCTTGTTCCCGTCACTCTTTGTGAGATCTCAATCCTTTTCTCTGCATTTAATCCATTTCTAAACTTTTCCAGTAGCTCCCTCCCACACGTGCTCCTCGGCTGTTTCCGTGGCCAGCATCTTCAGCTTCTGCTAGCCATGATTCAGCTTAGATACATCTGGAGTTGCTACAGCAGAAGGCCTCACAGTTTTTTCCATATAAAAGAGCAGAGCAATGCACTCTGCTGTCAGGGTATCCTGTATATTCTGCCTTCCTGCAGGAAGCTTTCTCAGAGAGTGTTTTGGTTAAGGCTTATGAGATGATTCAGCTTTCCACGGTTCTCTAAGCTTTTATCACCGTTCCCACTAAGAGAGGCCCCAGAAATCATCCTCTGACTTTTTTATTTTCAGGGAATCATCCTGTTTGCTTTGCTGTCACCAGGCTACAAGTGCCTGTGACCTCATACGATATATCAAGGCCATTTTTCTCCCAGTTGCTTGTACACAGCTATTAAATCCCTTGATTCTTTCTCAGAATTTTCAGTCCCTTCACAATACTCTCGTCCCCTGAGGAAGAATGCACTTCCCATCAAGTGAAGAAGAGAGCAAATAATAAATAACTGGACTCTCTTTATTCCAAATTGCTGTAACTAAAGCAAGGAGGGGTTTGATTGAGGTTGGCTTTTTGAAATATGCCTTGATATTGAAGACACGGTTGGTAAGAGAAAGGAAGTGAACCCGATGAAGATTCCTGCTGGAGTGAGAATGTTAACAACAAACTGGGTTTGTCTGTCCTGCCGCCTTCAGAAAATTTGGATGAGCCAGTCTGTCTTCACATTCACGAGAAAGAATTCTTAATAGCTCCTTCTGCTGGAGGCTATACTGAAAATAGGAGAAAAACAAATGTTTGACACACTTTTTGAAGGTAATGCAGCTCTCTCTAGCCTTAGCACTTTGCGACTATTCTCCTTCTCCCCCCTTTATGTACTGTCTAAAAGGTGAGCATCCTTTAATACACAACAGAGGTCACTGAAGAAAACAGTCCGATAGCTGTTGAGCTGTTGTATAGGTATCACCTGTACCTGCCTGTACCTTCCCAGCCTGGCACCAGCATGAAACATGTGCAGGATGACTCAGATTGCTGTCTGCGGAGCAGCTTGTGGGATTAGTGCAGTTCTCTTCTTGCGGAGCACCATTTGTGTGTGGAGCAGCTGTTACTGTCTTGGAGAAAATAGGCAGCTTTAGTTTTCTCCATCTCCATCTGCCATCCCTGTGTTGGTATCTTGGCTAAAGGTTTTATGTAACTTTCAGATTTAAGGAAGCCCCGTCCCCAGCAGGAGAAAAAGATGTTGTATAATTTTGTGTAGAAACCCACTTGAGATTTTTCAGTATTATTTTTTTCCAGTGCTTTACTTCTGTGGATGCAATAAGACTTTCAATCTGTAGTTTCCCAAGAGGTAGACTGGGACTTTTCTCTTCCAAGGATCTTTTGAAGAGTAAGAAAATGCATTCAGCTCAGGTATTAATAGTAAATACTGTTTTTTTTTTTTGTTTGTTTGTTTGTTTGTTTTGTTTTTTTCATTTTTGATCATACAGAACATCTACAAACAAATGTTTTATTTTTCCCCTTTTTTCTCTTATTGCAGTTAAAAAAAAAAGTGTTCTCGTTGGATACATGAGAAAGGTGGAATTCAGAGGCAGTATGTCAGTGACATTTCCCATCCATAGCTGGGAAATTGCTGCAGGTACTTCATTAAACAGAAGTCAAGAGACAAGGACTAATTTTAGACCTCTCCCTTCAGTTTCATCCACAGCAGTTCCATACGGAAATCTAACCTTGTTTATCCAAATTCTTTGCAAATGATGGGCTCCTTTATAAATGTCTATAGGAAGCGCATTCTCGTTCTGCTAATGCTGCCTGCAACCTTCAATATTTGCTTTTCATGACTAACCCTGAAGGTTTTTAATGCCTTTCTTTTCTGTTTGAATTGCATGTGGCTGTCGGAGTTTTTGAAAGTCGGGTTATTTGCATGGCAGCATGTTATTTAAAAGACATCTGGACAAACAGAGCCCCACTGTTTATAAATCAGTGTCTGTATTAAAACATATTTTCGTTCGTGAATCAAAACCTCAGTTACCGGGCTGTCAGGCTCTCAACAGTTTCATAGTCTCAGGGCTGTGAAACTGGGCTGGAGAAGAGGATTGCCCTTCTCACCCTTAAAGACCACATCCATTTTCTTGCATGCAAATACATCAGCTCTGACGCAGAAAGTCCTTGAACCACTGTTAGACGAGGGGCTGGAAGAGTGGCTAGAGGAGGTCTTGCTGAATGCTGCCCTTTTTCCACGCTCTTCTCTGAGCAGTTGCTGCAAGTGATGTTTGTCTAGATGGAGCTCCAGCTGAGCCCCAAGTGGCTGTCCGTACCGTCTGAGCAGGAGTTTCTTGACCAGGTCCTCGTCCTACTTAACAGCAGGCTCGTGCAAGCTGATGTTCTCCTGAGGAGCGTGATGCTTCTCCTCTTGGGAACTCCGCGAATCTCTCTCAAGGATTTCCTTGATAAAAGCATGACAGGCAGGTATCTGTAGGGGAGTGGGGGATTCTGCTTAGCTGAACTCCATGGCTGATAGTGAGAGCAGTTTCTTTGCCAGGGAGCAGACCGAAGCAAGCCCAGCTGCTCTACAGGAGCTGGGGAAAGCATGTTGGAAAGAGAAAGTACATTTGTATCCGTAAGAATTGCAACAGCAAGCAAAACTCATTCTTTTTTCTGCCACAGTGTTCTCCCTGCTTCCTCCCCACAAAAGGCCTTTATTGCAACACCTCTTGGCTCCTCAGACCTCTCAGCATTATGAAAGTGTCCTGAAAACCCTGCATTGCTGCAGATACCAGCTCAGCTCCACCAGTGCTAGCAATCTAAGATCTTCCACGGGATCTTACAAGCTGTGGCCCTGCTAGACCCGCTGTGAACACGGGCAGTCTGACAGGTTCATAAAAAGGGAAGGGAGAGGTTGTCCCTTTGTGCTAGAATCAGACAGTGATTGAGCTGAATTACACCAGCAGCAGCGGTGGGGAGCTGTTGAAATACTGCTGTCATACACAGGCGTAGCTGTAAACTGCGGGCTGGGAATACATCTTGTGTTCAGGTGGCCGGGGAATGGTACGGGCGCACGTGTGAATGGAGTTCACACAGCTCAGAGCCAATTGCAGATCAGCTGTTTAGCATTGATGTAATGCAATTACTGCAATCCCGCTGTAGGGAACAGTTCATCTGCGAGCAGGGTGCTAATGACAGATGTG